AGTATAGCAAATACTTGTGACTTTGTATGTTTTCTTTTTGTGGGAAAGAAAAGGGGCCTTGATTGAAAGTTTGGAAGATTAGGAAACAATGCCACAGGGTGCTCATTCCTTAGGTGCCTTGCATGGCTGTTTGCAGCCTGTAATGGAAATGTGATTGAAAACCATCTCTTCATCCTTTCTGTTCCAGTTTTCCCATTCCAGATCCAAGTCTATTTTTTACTTTGGTCACATTTTCTTAGAGATGTTAAGTGTGAATTTCCCAAGTATTTCCAGGCATATAATTTTTAAATTATTAAAAATTCTGCTTTTAAATAATATTTTTGTTTGCTTTTGAGACATGTGGACTACATTACAGTGTAGCTCAAGTTGGCCTCCAATCCAATCTAAAATTCAATGCTTAGGATTTTAAAGCTGAGCGATCACTGAAAGCTAAGGAGTTGATCTTATTTTTAGATTATAACAGTACAGTTGAAGGGTAGCTGCATGATTAATAGACTCAGTTCTTAGTTATATTTACACAAAAGAAAGCATACACATGCTGACTTTGGAGGCATCGGGGCAGAGAAGCTAGTCATTGCAAGGTGAGCCAGAACACGATTCTGAATGGGTCAAGAACCAACACTCACCAGGGATTTCCAGTTTGAAGCACACTAATAAAGGTTGATACCATATTTTTATTGATATATTTAACTTAAAAATCAGCCTCACTTTGTTAAAAATCATTTATAAGCTGTGTTACAGTGTTTAAATAAAACAACAGCTTTTGGAGCTGAACTGTCAAATATTAATATTAACTCTTTAAACTAATTAAGAGATAATATCTGAAAATATTAATAAGAGCCCCCACTTTTCATTATTTGAGTAATTGCTTTCTACTAATATTGTGATTTTTTTTTTTTTTAATTCTTGATTTTTCTAGGGATTATTTCACATTTCAGCTGCTTTTGTTTTCTTCTGCTATCATTGAGGGGTCAAGAAAAAGTAAAGCTTCAGGTAAAACGCCTGATCCGTGATAGTGCTCGGCATCGTTTTGGCTGGAAAGATGAACCTCCTGTTTGGATGCTTGTCTGAAAGTGACTGTGGTGATTGAGACTTGTGCATGGAATCCTGGCTGCCTCACACTCGGCCTTGGTTTTGTTTTGGCTTTCGGAGATTTTTGGCTGTCTGCTTTTCTTCATGTTGTCTTGATCCACAATAACTATATGGATATGTGCTTGGACCTGCTAAATATTTATTTTGCATAGTTGGCTGCTTGAATTGTAAGTAATCTCTTTGGACAATGCAAACTTAAAGAGCTTGAGAAGCTGTAAGTGAAATATCAATTTATAGTTTATAATGAGCTTTTAAATGTATGTTCATTAACATATATTTGAGGTTTGATATTTTACCACAAGTAAAGTTGAAAATTCAAGAGCTGATTCCAGTCAGTATGTGGCCACTGTAGATGGCACAGATAATACTATTGCTTTTATAATAGAACATATTGTTGGCCAGGATTGCTTTTAAGCTGCTGAAGCAGTGGAGTGTGAGCGACTTTGAACTGCCACCTTTACAATGTGTTATTAACGCCTAACGATGATGTGTGACCAGTCTCAAGAACACGTTCCCCAAGGGTTGGAGAGAGATACTTCTGTGGTTCAGAATGTGCTGCTCTTACAGAAGACCCCAGTTCAATTCTTAGCACCTGTATCAGGCCACTCACAACTTCATAGGAAGGACCCCAGCTCCGCAGGATGGACCCAAGACCTCTGACCCGAGGGCACTAGCACACACAGAGTTTTTTTAAAAAAGAATACTTTCTCTAAATATGTGGTCCTCTCCAGCTTGAAAATGTCACACACACTTACGGTTGTCTAAAATTGTTCATTTGCATCAATATTTATGCTACTTTAATGTGAAACTTTTTAAAAATGAAGGAAAATTATGCCTTATAGCAAAATTCATGAAGCAGGCAAAAACCTATTTAATTAGCCATCCTAAATCCAAGTTTTGGTCCTAGAACACAACTAGTTTAGTGCCCAGGTTAAGTTGCTTAACTTCCTTGAGGCTTTTTACTCCTGTGTGAATGTAGATGGCCATCGTTATTGTATAAGATTAACATAAAATACAAGTATGTCTAAAAGAATGTAATAGAGTGAGGTTTGTATTGCCTCATGTGAATGAAGCCACAGCATAGGCAGTGTCGGGCACACTCATCTGCATGCTTTTGTTCTAGTCTGGCCAGGATAATGGGTGTGCAAGGATAGCCGGCTAGGTCAGAAGTGTGTCGGATGTTCCTTCAACATGGATTTTTTTTGAACAACTGGAGTATCAGCATGAGGAGGAAAAGGAATAGGATGCTAACTGGCTTTGTTTTTGAAGAACTCCATAAAATCCTTCCTACTAATAAAACAAATTTCATGGAGTGTTTTGTAACTTACAAAGTATTTTACATAATTCTTTAAAATCCTAACTAATATTTTGAATACATTTCCAGTGTTGATACTAAAGACAAGTAGTAGGATGCTTTAGAGGTTGATTATTAAACTACTAGCAAAATGGAAATCTGTATTGTTTTCAATTTTCAACTTTTTAATTTAGTTCTGTTTTTGTTTTTGAGATAGGATCTCACTAGGTAGTCTAGGTTGTCCTGGAAGATGACCAGCATGTAGACCAGGATGGCCTTGAACTCACGGAGAGAACTCTTACCTCTGCCTCCCAATTGCTGGGTGTATTGTGCCATCATGACCAACCCATAAATTTTTGTGGGTGGTCTCATCGTTCCCCCCACTCCCATTCTCTCCATGTACCCTAGCTGTCCGTGAATACCCTCCTCCCATCTTGGCCTTCTGGGTGTGGTTATAGGAATGTCCACAATGCCCACCTCAACTTCCTACTCTGACCTGCTGTTCCTGCCTCTCCCTTCTTTAATGATCAATTCCCTTTCTGAAGCAGGTGTATATTGTAAAACTCGGAGAAGCTCAGATACCTGTTTCTGTGTTGAGATTGAATGTGCACCCTAAGGGATTCTGGTACCCACCTCTTGTTAAAAGTCATCATCTTAGCTTTCCCTTATCTGTATGTCACAATTAATACACAGATAATAAGGAGCCAGAGAGGTAGAATGGTATGCACTGTACCAGTTTCACTCTTAACTGCTCCAGATGTGTTTGGCCTGTGGTGGACACTTTGAAAAACGCAGTTCAATTTTCACATTGCATGATGGCTTTTTTTTTTTTTTTTTTTTTTTAAGTAAAAATATTATCGGGTACATTTTATAGGGGAACTTTAAATTTT